GGGCCTGCTGACCACAGGCGTCACCCTCCCAGATTGTCTGGCCATGGGCGGAGCCACTTCCAGGGTGGTCTTGCTGTGGGGAGCCCAGCTCGGGTTGAGGAGGCCTCCAGGACTGTGTTGAGCAACTATCCAGGGCCCAGGGCTGCTGCCCTGGAGGCTGCCTCAGGAGGCAGAGTCCCCCCACCCAAGTATTCCAAAGACCAGGACGATCCCAGCTTGTGCCCAAACCAAATTTGCTAAATACCTAGAGGAGTTTCTTGGCAGAGGGCTATTTTCCAGTATTCTTGGGGTGGGTGATGGGTGGCCTAGAGTCCCTTCAGTCCCTGCTTCCACCACCTCCCTGCAGGGGACTCCCAAACCACGATGGGGAGAGGGCGCCACCTGCTGGCAGCCTAGGAGGACTACAACCAGCGGCCTGTTCTCAGTGAGGACGCCTAGGCCCCCAGGGCCCCGGGCCTGGAGTTGCAGGGACAGTGGGGGCAGCGCCCTGCCTTGCACATTGACTAGCACCCCAGGTTGAAAAACTCAAGTCTAAGGACCCCTGGGAAAACTTGGGATCTTCAACACCAGGAGAAAGGGTGGTTGGTCCCAGGAGACTGAGGCCAGCAGCCCTGTGCCCCCCCTGCCACCTGCCACAGTCCTGCATGTGCCCTGTAGCTGTGGTTCGACAGATTTTGACTTTGGTGTCACTGGACCTAGTGGTGCCAGTCTACCTACCTGCCTATCCGCCTGCCAGCCAGGCCCCACCAGGCAGCCCCCGCCACAGGTACCATGTTTCAGAAGCTTGGAGCTAGAATTCTGCCACTGGGGTCCTATTAGCTCCAGCTGCCAGGTGCATTGTTAAAGGCCAGCTGTGCTGATGGTCCCTGGGGAGGGGGCAGTCAGGAGGGGACAGCAATCTGGCAGGGGGCAGTGCCAAGGTCCACTAGGCCTGAGATACGCCCCACTGCCCCAGGGGGCCCAGTGGGGATGGGGTGTCCCAAGTGCCTGCCCACCCCCTCCCCAGTGAGGTTGGTGTTGGGTGGTGCGGAGACCCTCCAGGTTCTGTCCCTCCTCCTTCCCACATGGGACCCAGCAGGGTCCAGGGCCTCAGGTGTGCACCCCACCCTGACCTCACAGCGGTGGTTACTCAGGTGAGGCTCCTGGCTCCTGGCTCCTGGCACAGGAATATAAGTCCCCTGGGCTGCACAGGGAGGAGGAGCTGCAAACTCTGGTAGGGCTGGGGTTTCTCTGGCAACCTCTGGGCGGGGCAGCTTCCCTCAGCAACTGGGCACCTGGAGTCCTTAGCTCCAGGGCACTGGCATTGTGGACTCCTCTGGCCTTGTAGTGTGGCTGCTGCCCAGTGTCCTCCTGCAGACAGGGAGACCTGGAGCCCCCCAGTGGGTGAGTACCTGGGGAGATCTACCTGAACCCTGCCCAGTCTGCACCAAGCACCTGGAGGAGGGGGCTGGGGCAGAAGGGGGGCAGAGATAGGGAGCAGGGGGCACAGGCTCCCTGTTCCTCCACCCAGCTCCCCTGGGGGAATCTTCCTGTGTTGCCCCCTCTGAGGGCATGGGCTCCGTGGGCTCCGAGAGCGAGACTGCCTTAGGAGGGTTTCTCCCCTGCCCTGCCTGCAGGGCTGCCTCCCTCCGAGCCCAGGTGAGCTCCTGTGAACGCTGTCACCATCTCCGGCTGTGAAGTGGGAATGAGCTTTGCCCAGACCTGACGGGGCTGACGTAAGGCTCAGTATTGGGCCCACCTGGCAAATCCATGATCCTGACAGTGGGGTGGGGACAAGGAGAGGCTGCACTGGCCGGGACAGCCCAGCCCAGCATGGGCAACCTGCTAAAGCTCTCTGGCATGTGGCCTGGCTCCCTGGCTGACCCGCCTTGCTGTAGAGCCCCCATTAGAGTCTGTGAGGTAAGGCTGGAGCAGCCTGGGACGGAGGCCCAGAGCTAGACTCTCAAGGCCCTGGCCCTCTGCTGGCCATCTGAGCCCTTGAGGGAGCTCTGGTCCCTGAGGACGTGGTGCTGTGTGCTCGCGTTCCTTTTTCAGGTGGCACCCCCTTGCTGGGGGGTCAGGTCACAAGTCCCAGAGCTGTGTGCTGCTCTGAGGACCCATGATTTGAGGGAGGTGGTACTGAAGAGGGGTCCCTGCTCTGCATATGTGACAGTGGGCAAGGTGACAGTCTCCCTCACAGGGAGATGTGGAGCCAAGGCCACCCCAGGTAAGGTGTTGCAGGCAGAGTCTGGGTGCCCTGGAGGGCCAGCTCAGGAGGCCCTGTTCCTCACAGGCCTTCTCAGGTGGGAGGTGGGTGGCCTGCTTCAGCAGGCTGCTCTGCTGCCCGCCCTGGCTGTGAGAGGCTGACCAGGCCTGGGGTCGGGGGTGGAGGGGCTGCCTGGGACCTCCCTCTGTGGCGAGGCCCTGGTGGAGCCTCTCCTTGGCACCTGGATGTGTTCCCCAGGGTCTTCTTCTGGGTCTTATGAGCTGGAGTGCAGCTGGGGTCTCTCCAGGAGCAGTGACAGCCCTCCCTGCCCGCCGCCGCCTCTGACTACAGGCCCGCGACAGGACAGCTTGCCACGTGGCACCTCTGCCTCGTCTCACTCCTTGGGCTCTTCCAACTGGCTTCCTGGTGGCACCCACTCCTAACGGTCTTCCCAAGTCCCAGCCTGCTGTCACTCCTTCCCGCCCTGGCATCTGCTGCCTCTGTGTCCCCTGTCTCCTGGGGCCAGACCAGTGGAAGCTTCAGTGGGCTGGACGGACGGGCTGCCCAGTCTCACACCCACAGAACAGCCCTGCCCTGCTCTGCAGACCCTTTGGTGTGTGTGTGTGTGTGTGTGTGTGTGTGTGTGTGTGTGTGTGTATGTGTGTGGCGTGCACCACAGGGGAGACCTGTGCTTTGACGCAGGGGCCCAGGGCCTCTGGCCCTCTACATGTCATTCCCTGGCTGTGACTGTGACCTGCTCGAGCCTGGAGAGCTGAGCTGCTGTGGGGACCCTGAGGCTCTGCTGCCTTCCAGGCCCTGGCAGCCTGGTGGCCTCGGGGTGCGGCTGTGGGGCTGCAGAGGGCAGGGCAGTTGGTGGCAGGGTGCCATGCCAACACCTGGGCCTGTGTTGCTGTTGCTGGGCACTGTGGCCTCAGGCCCTGGGGCCCCCAGGGGTGACAGGCATGGTGCCCTTCTCTCGCTGTGCGGCACTGCCCGGCCCTGCTCGGCTTTGCTTTCCAGGGCCGAGGCGGTGCGAAGTAAACAGTGTTGCTAATTAGAGCAGAGCTGCCAGCTTCCAGAAGGGGGGCCTCCCGCCCCCACCCACCTTCCGCGGCCCAGATTGCAGCAGAGTCAGGCATATGCTGCCGTTGGAGCCTGTGTGCTTTTCGCAGTTGCGGGGGGCTGGGGGCCTCTGCGGCGTTGCTGCCTGCTGAACCCCACCCCAGTCTGTACCTGTGCAGCCCAGTCTTGGAACTGGGTGCTGGCTGTGGGCCGGCACAGGGGTGGGAGGCTGGACAGGGACCAGGTACCTGGGTTCCCTCCCTGGCTCCTTCCTCCACTCTGCAGGCCCAGCCGAGAACTTGGTGTTCCATGTGTCTTCGGAACTCCCGAGGGCGCCTCCCCAGGGACGAGGTTCCGCTCGCTTCGCAGAGGAGTGGGCCAGGGCCTGGAGGGCTGCACAGCTTGCCTGAGATCCCGAGGGGGCCTGGTGTCTCAGCCCCTGGACCCTCCCTGCCTAGGCTGGGCAAGGGTACACGGGGATGCCTGTTGGCTTCTCCTCCCAGCCCACCCTGCCAAGCCCTCATACAGGGCTCCGCCTGGCCCTGGGACCCCCAGGAGCAGCGGATTTTCCTGGCCCTGGGGGTGTGGGAGGTCGTGGGAATGACTTGGCCTGCCAGCTTTCTGACCCTCCCAGGCCCCTGGACCTGTGACTCAAGCTGAGCCCCAAGTCCCTCCCCTATAGTAAAGGTAATAAGTGGACGTCCCTCAAGGGACTGTCACAGGGTAGCAAAAGTGCCCAGCCATGCAGTGAATAATTGCTGATAAAGGGGCGTGTTTACCTGCTGACGTGGGTCACGACCCCACAGGAGAGGTGGACAGGGATCTGGCAGGCACCCCCAAGAACAGGAGTGGGCATGCCCTTCACACTGTGGGGTGTTACAGGACTGTCCTCCCAGGAGCAGAGGGGAGGGAGGAGGCCAGAGGGCCGGGGAAGGGGTATGTGCCTTGTGCACCAGAATGGAGCTCCAGTGGTAGAAGCCAAGGAGGTAGTGGGTTGGCCAGCACCAGGAGTCCAGGAGCAGGCCCTGGTTGGCATGGACCTTCCCCCAGGCCTGCAGAGGGCCCAGCTGAGGTGACGGTGCTGCCAGGGACACGTGCAGGCTCCTTGACCCAGGTTCTGGCCTCTGCCCACTGGTCTTCTGGGAGCCTCTGTTCCTGGCCACTCTGCGGCCAGCACAGAGACCCGCCCTGCTAGCAGGTGTGATGGTCCTGGGGGCAGGAGACAGACTGCACAGGTTTGGCCATGGCATGGACATGAGCAGAGGCTCCAGGCTTTGGGGAGCCAGCGTGGGCCCCCAGGTTTGGAGTGTGTCCTGAAGCCTGGTGATTGAGCAGCCTGGGGGAACCCAGCAGCACCCATCACGGCTGCTTGGGAGGAGAGGGCAGTGAGCGGTGGCCTCACAGCCCACAGGACAGCAGCCATTCCGCCCTGGCTTTGTCCTCAGCCAGGCCTCTCCATGCTTTTGCTCTTTGTCCAGGAAAGTATTCACTCGGTTCTGGCCACTGTGTGTGGCTCTATCCCGTCAAACCAGGGCCTCAACAACCTGTGGGCTGTGGGCAGGGTATGTCCAGCCTCGATCCTGAGATGCTCTGCCCCCCGCTTTTGGGAGCAGGGCTGGGGAGTCCCGGACTTGGGTGCTATGGGGGCCTAAAGGCCTGGCAGACAGGAGGTGACGGTCAATAAAGGGGCCAGTCCTTTGGGGGTTGGATGGCCCAGGGCCATGTCTGTAGGAAGCAGAGGGGCGTTCAGTCCCAGGGTGGGGAGGCTCCTTGGGAACCAGAGGGAACCAGAGGTGGAGCTGTCTTCAAGGATCACCTCAGAGTGGTTCAGGCTTCCAGGATGGCGTGGGTGACACACGGTCACTCCCGGTGACCCCCAGCCTCTTGTGCCGGCCCAGATCTGCTGCGTGGCACTCTAGGAGGTTGCAGAAGTTCCTCAGCCTTTTCCAGGCCCCCAGTTACGGCAGCCCTAGTCTCCTCTCTGGGACTTCTGATCTCTTGTAAATGTCATCCCCAGGGAAGCCAGGAGCCCTAGCAGACTGGGACACCAGGCTGGGCCGTGTCCCTGGGCTGGATTCGGGTCCTGCTGGCTGTGGCAGTCCTGGCGTAGGGAGGTCTGGGGGGCCTCAGGTTCCAGGTGGGGCCTGGGCTTGGCAGCCTTTCCCTAGGTCAGGCGCTGTATAAAAAGCCCCAGGAAGGGCAGGGGTGTGGCCCCGTGACAGAGAGCCTTCCCGGCACGTGGGAGGGCCTGGCTTCCACCCCCAACCCCCAAAATAAAACAATAAAGACTTAGGTTTTCTTCATGCCACCTAGAACCAGGGGACTTTTGCTGTCAGCTCATCTCTGGGCCACATCCCAAGACAGATTCCCGCATCTCCACACCTGTCCCTATCAGCCACGCAGCAGAGGACTCACGGGCACTCACAGACCTCAGGGGGAGGCAGGGTCTCCCTTCCCCACTCGACCTCAGGACCAGCTGCGCCCCAGACCAGCCACACGCAGAACCCATGTCCACCCGCCACGCTGCCTGCCGGGCAGGTTCATGGAACCCCTGGGGTGTGTCTCTTCGAGCTCCCGGGGAGGAGGACGCAAGCCAGGACTCCTGGCTTTGGGGGACATCTGGGAGTGCTGGTGGGAGCCCCCGCAGGAGTTGAAGGGCTCAGGCTCTGTCGCTGAGTGACACGGGGTTATTATGCTGTCATGGGGACACCTGGAATTCTCTCCCACCCCACTGAGGGGCAACTCATTAGGAAGCCCCCACCCCCGCCATTGCCAGCTCAGGGCCTGCACCCACTGTCCCCACCCAGTTTCAATGACCGTCCTGAGGGCTTCCACTGTAGGCCAGGGGGCCAGCACAGGCCAACATCCAGAGCCAGGCAGTGGCCAGCCTGTCCAGCACGGTGATGGGCCCTGGGCTGTAGACCTTGAGGCCACCATGTGAGCACACCGTCAGGCTGATGGCGGCTGGGGCTCGCCCTGGTGCTCACCCACCTCGGCTACTGGCCATGCCAACCCCAGTCTTGGGCAGGCTGCCCACCTACCTTCGGAGAGCACTCCAGCCCTTCCCCAAGGAGAGCCAGCAGCAGGGCCTCTGGTCTGTCAGGACCCTGGGGAGAACGGAGAGCAGGAAGACCAAGCCCAGGTAGTGTCTGTGTGTCATCTAATGCGTGGGGCAGGCTGCAGGGGTCTTGCCTTCCCCAGGCAGTGCCCTGGTGGACGACACCAGGACACGGAGGTCAGCGCTCAGGTCCTGGGTCTGCCTCTGCCAGGCGCCTTGGTGTGGGCTGGCCTCTGAGCCTTAGTTTTCCCACCTGCAAACTGGGCTGATGACGGTCCCCACCTCAACAGGGCATGGTCAGACCCCACGAGAGATGGTCAGGGCAAGGGTCCTGGGAAAGAGTGTTTACTGTGGGACAGTTGTGGGAGCAGGGGTTGCAGGGACAGGGGACTCAGTCTCGAATGCTCTGCTCAGCATTGGGCCGCCAGCCTGACCAACTGTGTCTGTCACTCTTTCCAAGGGAAGACAGTCTTGGTCTACCTGCAGCCGAGGATGACCTCATAGCTGACCTGAGGTGGCCCGGGCCCTCCCAGCAGCTGGGCTTTCATGGCACGATTCCTCACGTGGTCTGGTCTGATGACATGGAGGAGCCAAGCCCCAGTATGGAGGCCTGCAGCTTGCCCCTGTGGGCTGTAAACCAGGAGGACAGGGACGGGGACAGTTCGGTGTCATCGGGCCGCATTTCTGGCTCCTCTGGGGGCCATGAATCATGTGCACCTCCCCGAGGGCCCTGGAGGGAGAGGCCGCCCCAGATGCTAGGTCCCCGGCGGCATCCCAGAAAGAGCAACCCACGGCTGGAGCAGCTAAGGGACAAGATCCGGGCGCAGACGCAGTGGCAGGCCAGCTGCGCCTCCTTGGGCACCTCAGCACCCTCCAGTGCCTCGCGCCTCTACAAAGCTGCGTCGCCAGCACCCAGGAGCAAGACCCGCAAGGCGACAAGCTCCCTTCCAGCCCCTACAAGATGCCCAGGTCAGTGGCAGGTTGGCTGGGGGAGGGAGGCTGGGCCTGAGGCTGTGGAGGCCAGGAGCAGGCAGGTTGGGAGGGTGCCAGAGGCAGGGGCACCAGTGTGGTCCACCAGGGAGGTGTGTGCCATGTGCCCAGTGCCCTGAGGGCTTCAAGGCCCCAGAGCCACGTGGAGATTGGAGAGGGGCTTCTGATCTGGGTTTAGGTGAGGAAGGCCCATTGATGGCTGAATCACATTGGAAGGACAGGGACGTGGAGGGTATGGAAAGAACCTGGGTCAGTTTCTTTGTCCCTGAAGCTTTGGGGGCTGGTCCCCAAGCAGGCCAGCTGCGTGGTCAGGGACCCTAAGAAGCCAGAGTGCAGTCTAGAAGGTTCACCCGCTTCCTGGCCTGGAGAGGGGTGGCATATCTAGGGAGCCTCACTGCTGGGCAGGAGGGGGCCTGGCCCAGGTGCCTCCTTCTAAGGAGGCAGGGAGATGGACATCTGCCCTTTTTCTTTTTTAAGGCAGCAGCTTATTTTTAAAGATGATTGTAAACTACATGACATAAGACCTGCCATCTTAGGCACTCTTACGTGTCTGTTAGTGGCATTAAATGTATCCATTGCTGGGTGGCCACACCTCTGTCCATCTCCCAAGCTTCCCCATTGTTCCAAACTAAGCTCTGTCCCCATTAAACACCAGCCCCCCAGACCCCACCCCTCTATTTCCTGTCTCATGGACCTGGGCTCTGGTCGCCTCATGGAAGTGGGTCCCCCAGGACGGCCCTTGTGCCTTTTTCAAAGGCAGCGTGCTTCTTTCTGAAAGTATAGATGATGAAACGCCAGGGAGACCGCGGCTGCTCCCCCCCGTGGCTCTCCCAGTGTTTCTCTGGCCAGCTCTGGGGTGTGCCCTCTGAGTCTTGCTGCCTCAAAAGGATGGGATTGAACCAGGGGCTGTGGCCTCCTTTCCCATGTGGAGGTTCCAAGCCCAGCCGGTGCCCTGCAGGAGGGCAGATTCTGCTCTGTAAGCCACGGCGGTGACCTGTCGGTGGTGCCAGGTCTGGCCTAATGAGGCAGCTTCCCACTGAGGGGCTGTCCTCGCTGGGGCGTGGCCCGAGGTGCTGCCCCTGAACCTTCTCCCTGCCCCCTCTGTGTGCATGCCCCAGGCTTCAGCGACCTGCATGCAGCTGAGCCCAGAATGGAAGACATAGTACTCTCTGGCCTGGGGCACGAGCTCTCCCAGGTCACCCAGCGGGAGGCTTCAGGTGAGTGGTGTGGATACCACATGCTGGGCCCCACTTACAGATGACACTGGGGGTCAGAGAGGACCCTAGCTGAGAAGGTGCTAATGGGGATTTGGAGCCTGAGCTGTAACCCTCTGCCTCTCGGGGGAGAGAATCCCAGGCCCCCTCAGATGGCTCTTTGTAGAGCCATCTCCTTGCAGAAGGAGGTGTTCTCACTACCTTGCAGCCAGCCCGAGGCCCTCTAGGACCCCCAGCCCCTTGCTCCCTGGGCCGTCTGGCAGACGTAGGCCCTGCCTAGCTCTGGAGGTGCTGTGGGTGGGCCATGGGTCAGAAGACTTCCAGGTAGGGGGTGGGCCTGGGGACACACGTGGCTGAGCTTGCTCACTCATTCTATAGACAGAGGAGGGGTGGAGGGACAGGCAGGCTGCTCTGGGAGTGGAGGGCTGCACTATCGGGAACACTAGTTCCAAAAGAAAGAAAAGAGTTTAGATCCATTTTGATCCATTCATGTGTCTTAAGGGGTCCAACTTGTCCTGGAGTCCTGCTGCCATGGGTTCTAAGAAGATGACTCAGGTATCTCATTAGCCACCCGCAAAG